AAACTTTTCTTACGTAGAGGCTGTGAAAACACCACAACTTTTGACAAGATGAAATGACATCAATTGGTGGAAAGGGACAAGTTTTGAAAAATGTGGTGTACCTTTTCTATATCATATCCGCAACTATCTGCAGATTCCAAATAAACCCGGATTAGTTTTCACACATTAACATCATTGAAAAACTTAAATAACACCTTTTCTATTCCTATATATTCTATGCAAACTGCTATGTTGCCTGTTTCTGTTTGTAACAAGCTGGATCAGTTAAATAAGAATTGAATTGAATTGAACTGAACTGCTATTCCCATTACAAGACCCATTCGTCATTTAGGAATGAATTGAATTGACTGATTTTGAAAAACCTCAACATGAAGATAACGTAAACTACAAAAACAAAAACAAACAACCAAAAGTAAGCAACATGCTTTCATTGAGACACCCTTAAAAAACAAAAGAAAGGTAAACCACAAAAGTAACATAATTTAGCCACGCAAATAAACACCTTAAAAATCAATCATTACAAATGCCTCAATATCTTTTCTTCTATCAAAATCAAAATCACATTTCGCAAAAGTTCAATGCTCGATCTTGCGCAACTTTTCTATTGTGTAATCTATGCAAATTCATCATCGCTATCACTTGCGAAACCTTTCATGAAGGTTGTTATGTGATAGAAACCACGAGCCCTCCCATCGAAGTAGATATGTGGTAAATATGGCCAGTTAGAATACTTTTGTATCCCCACCATGACTTCATTGTCTGAAAGAACATCAAAACTTCCAAATTCAACCTCATACTTCTTCAAAAGTTTAACAGCCATTCTACTAAATTTACATTTGGGCTCCTCAGGGGTTCCTTTCATGAAAAGCATCACTCGATTAGAGTCAATCAACTTCTGCAGTCGCCTTTTCATGGCATCATCAAGGCCAGTTTGAGCTTGAATTTGCTCCTCGGAAGATCCACTTACTTTTGCTAACTCTTGGACTATCTCAAGGTTGGTAGGTGCAGGAGCAGTAGGTTCTCCAGCCTTAACTGACCCAGCAACTTCATTGGCCAAACTAGATGAATCTGCGACCTTTCCATCCTGACAAAAGAAAACACAAACAAAAAATGACCAAGAGAAGAACAAGATACAGAACAATTGTAGAACCCAAGCCAACAACGAAATTAGTTACAAAAGTGTATCAACAAAAAAGTTCTTTTTCCAATCATCACTCAATTCATACTTGCACGCATTTCCAGTTTTGCGATCAAAGTAAGCATTATATTTTCACTGGACACCTAAGTTTCTAGTTCATCGTCCAAACTATTGATTAATGATCATAAATCCTGTGAAAAAAAACTCAACAATCCCAGGCTTGAGCACATGATTTATAAACACCTAAGGTTGCAGT